CATATTCAATTAGCAAGCATTGAATCTGTATAAACGGATATTTTTCATAGTATAATACTTAACTAAACCCAACATATCCTTAATAATACATTCTACAAAGACCCATCGTTTCGAAGAGATGTGGCGCTTCGAGGCAGAGCATCTGAGCGACATGCTTTTGCCGATGACATTGGGCATTTGCGCAAGTTGTCAAAATGACGGCGCGCATTGTACCAGCCAGAGTGGACAAAGTGGCGAAACTGGGCCTCTCCTGGGCTCACCAAGCAGCAGCGCCTGCGGTAGCGGAAGTGGAAGTGCCCTGGGAGGCAGTGGTTCGATTAATGATGCTCGTGATGTAAACGTGGCTCCATTAAAAAGAGGCCACATGCGGCGAAGCAAGGTCACAGCTGGTCTGAAATTGACGCCTCTACAGGAGAAAGGAATGAGATGGTAAATTGATAAGTGGTTTCCTTAATATGTAATACTGAATCATTCCATGCTATGGTCCTCCTTACGAGGAAAATATATTGTAGTTATTATTATATGATACAAAAATATATATTTATATTTTATATAAAAGATACATTGAAACACTTTGTATGTATTTATGTTTTATATAAATAGTAATTAGTAGTATATAGTATTTAAGTGTGTGCTTTACGCTCTCAGTTGGTCAGGGTACTGGTAACAAGTATTCGACCATGTAAATTAATTAGCCAATTCATGCAACTTGGTTATCTGACAATCTGTGAAAACCCTTGAGATATATTAGCAATATTTATGGTATATGTGCACAGAAACGATTGAAGTAAAATAAGTTTACTTGAATAGCCTATGCAATAAGTAAGAAAAGAAATGTCAGTACATTTTTTTTAAACGAAGAAGTTCCAAACAGCTTAAACACTTTCCAATTAATAGAAACAACTAATTACCACTAGTTTGGTCTCTATTTTCATACAATTTGATTTATATTAACTTTTCTTTGCGCAGGATTTCTTGCTGTATTCTTTCAATGGGTATTTTGGTCGCCTTGCATTATAAAATCCTGAATCCATTCTTAACTGAGATAGAGAGGGGGGACTGCAGTACCTAGCAGCCTGAAAAATTACGCCATGAGTATATCCGATCCTTGCTGGAAGTAATATGAGTCATTCAAGAATGTGAATGTAAGTAAAGAAAAAAAATGAAAAATGAAAAATAAATACATGATAAGTTAGCTGAATTTTCCCTTTTACGCAGCATTTTAAGCCTTAACTAAACGAGTATCTCCGAGTAGTTGTATAAATCTGTGTATTTTTAAATAAAATAGAATTTCTATTCCGTTATAGTCACATGGTGACAACCACTGATAGTGGCTCTTCTTGTATGCATCAAACTTGGCTCATTAAAAGCCTGATAATGCTTACTAAAAGTGGTATCATATACTAGGGCAAGACTTCAATGAAACTCAGCTAAGCGTCACATTTTATGTCAGTGTTAGACAGACGTTTTTGTGCATGAGTTCATTTTTTATTGAGTTTGCCCCTATTTGGCTTTGCCTACACAAAGGTCTTCAACCTAAATACTGCATTCAATGACTTATGTTCTATAAATCTATGCATAAATAATTTTTATTAGCACTTACGAAACTTGCCCTTGGT